GAACAGTATTGACCAATCGACGGTGTGCATCTTGTAATAGTAGGGTCAATAAAGAAACGCCGTTCGGAATGTCCGCAAGTTGACGTCCAAAGTCTACAAGTTGTTCTTGATATGTCATCGTTTCGGAATTAAGACTTTCACTAGCATTTTCTGCCGCACTTGCATTCTCGCTTGGGCTCATAACCTGAAGTGAGCTATGAGAGCTCACCAGTTCACTCTGACTGCGTGTGACTGTCACGTTGACACCACACCGCAGTCAGGTAGTAATAGAAAGTAGGAAGCAAGAGAAGCACGTATGTGCCGAGGCTCAACCAGCGGCAGGTGACGGTGAAGGTCTTGGTCGGAATCTGCACTTGCTCTTCAGAAGGCAAATTCTCGAGTGAGTGCAGTTCCGTGCCAGTATCACCACCACACCAGCACTAAGTTGTATTAGTACTCAGCACTAATAGTTTAAGTACATCTATACTAACACTAAGTTGGTCATGACGTTGCACAAGTCCACGCGTTGGCAGCACGAGCCAACACACAACAGACCGACGCAGTCGTCCATTGCGTAGCTGCAACGTTCGTGTGCTTGTAGAGATCCGCACGATCTGCACTCACCAGCACATTGTATCTCACATCTATCTGTAACAGCCAATTGTCACGCATACGTAGCCATATGCGAAGCTGTCATAAGTGACTTCTGGATACTGAGACTGAACATGTGAGCACTTAAAATATTACGTACAGTATTATATTTAAAAAAATAGTAGCATGGTTACATATAGTTTATATTGCTTCGCTTTAAATAAAAATATAAGCCCACCGCAGCGCAGCGAACCTCTCTACACCAACAAACCAAGCCCTTGCGTCCGCAGAGCGGGCGCCCAGAGCGCTAGACAAAGCCATTAATAGCACGGTGTCTGTCCGTCCGTCACACGAAACGCTCAGATTTTTGAGCTTTATCATTGGCTGACGAGCGGAGCGAAGGCGGCTCCAATTGGTTAAAACAGAATTATGTGGCTTACATCAGTAAATTCATGTGGTTCACAGAGCTCATATGGAGATTTGCACAGGCATCGTTTTAATACTACGAAATTTTTATTATTGGTAATATTGCATGTTGCTTTTAACCCTTATAGCCCCTCTGTTTATGCTGTATTATACAGCAAAAGGAATAAGCTTTCCTATAGTATGACGGCGTACCTGTGTGAAGTTTATCTGTTTGTAGCCCCCTTCTAGCAATCGAGCCGGATTCTAGTACAATTTATGATGCTACCAGTAAATGCAAGAGTCCTAATTGGCTAGATTGATGGATACATTTTGTGCAAAATCGTGAAAAATGTCTGTAGCACTCGTTACCCTTTCACACTCGATGTACGGAAGTCGTCGTGGCGATTCGCGCCAAAACTGGTGGCGTGGAGAGCGCTGCAGCTACCCCGCGCTTTCCGCGGAGAAAACTTTTGCCCATTTGTCAAGCAAAGACTTGTGTAAACAACAAATGGGCAAAGTTTCCTCCACATTAGATCAGAGGTGAGCTACTCGTCATCTACTTCCTGCAGCTTTCTTTTCCTGAATCTAATTTTCTTTCTCATGTCCGGTGGGATGATGGTGCCATTCTTCCAGGTGATATGCCATGTCTGATGGCACGTGTCGGTGTTGCCTCGCTCCTCTCTGCGAACCTTGTTGCAAAGAGCCACGCGACCCCCAAAGGTAAGCGAGCATTCTTCACAAGAGTACGGCGTCTCGAAGCTGCGATATTCCTTGTCGGAATAGGCCGAACATACTTTGCATAAATACTGACGGACTTTGTTCTTGTAGGTTTCCGCAGTTTTTGTCAGCACGTGCGGTTGTCCTGCCAGTGGGGTCGAAAGTAAGTTTTGGGCGTGCATGTTGCCTTGAAAGTCCACCTTTTGCTGCGCAAGCAGCTCCACGTGTAGCCGCGCCAAATAGTCAGCATGGGTGGGAACAGGTTTGCCTTGCTCTTTCATCACTAACTTGTGGATAATGAACCCATTGACTAATGCCATGTCAACGATACCGAAAAACAGGTTCTTGTAGTAGGATCGATGGCGCAGTGCTTTCTGGATAGAATAGCGGTGAAGTCGCAGCTGATCGTGTTGGTCTACTCCTCCCATGCCTTTGTTGTAGATACGAACCAGCTCGGGGCACGCAACTTCAAGAGAGACGCCATCCCCCTTACGCTTTCGCTGAACAATAACCCGTCTCGTGCTGCATCCCGTTGCCATGAAGTTGACGATCTTTGAATCCTTCCAGCTAGCGGCGACCAACCCTGGGATCCGTGGATTATACGCGACACGGTACGCTCCGCGCTCAATTTTGTTTGCAGGTTGCTGAGGTTGCAACTGCTTTTGCTTTTTCTTACTGGGGAACTGGATCCGCTCGCTCCAGCCTTTCCGATTCACGCGTGTTGTACCTACTGTGTAGATTCCCATTCTCAGAAGGCGTTCGGCTAGCTGCACGCAGGTGTAGTAGTTGTCGGTGACGACTAGGCGCTTTCCAGGCTGCCCTCGCAACGCTTTGGTCAAGTTGCGGATCACCGCTTTCGAAATAGCTGACTCGGTGTCTTCTTTCCCGCGATAGATCTCTATTCTGTATGATTCACCATAAACACACAGCATTAGATACCATCCGCGCTCTGCTGTAGGCTACATCATAAGACGACTTACCGAGAACAGTATGCTGTATCAGAACAGCAAACCATGTAAAACTTGGTTCCCCACTTCGTTGGTTTGTCCTTCATGTAGATTCGCATCGGGTTGTATTGATGCCTGCTGCCAATCATCCCTTCATCGAAGGAAAGCGTGGAACCCATTCGGTATCCGTTTCGAAAGGTCTTCTCAATCATCTGGAGGACAGGACGCAATTTCCAAGCTTTGTCTTTCTTACGCCGGTCGTTCGCATTGTCATTGAAGTGTAGATAGCGCGTGATCTCCTCAAATCGCTTGCGAGTCATGAATTTGCCGAACGTGCCTCGTGGAATTGCCCCATTCTCAGACGTCGACCAGTGATCTCCTAGTGAACGCCGGTGGGCGCACAGTGCACGAGCTATAAGCAGTGCAATGTAGTGAACTATCTCGTGAGCTTGAAAGGGTTTCACCTTGCTCAAAGTGTCTTTGATATCCGATAACGACTGGACTCGACTATCTGGGTGTGTAAGTTGCCACTGTTGCTGACGGCGTTGCTTCTGGATAGCGACTTCATCTACCACACTCGCACGATATCGATTGGATTCCTCAGCAATTTTGGTCCACATCAACTTCGGCATGAAGTAGTAAAACATGGCAAGAGGTGACTCCGCATACGTTCGCGCAGACTCCGTTGGACCCCACCGGCCATTGTACAGATCCGATGCACCATCTACTTGCAGGTCTCCACTGTGGTCTTGATCGTATACAACCCACGCAGAAGAAACCGCCTTCAATTCCGCGTCACGGAGAAAATCAGGATTGGCATTGGCATTTTCTCGAGGGGACCAGTCATCATCAGCAACATCCTCGAAGAATTCGGCGTCATCTAATCCGTCATCGTTGTCGCTCAGAGCATCCTCGGCGGCATTACTTGCCAAGCCCACTTCCGTGTCCATTACTTCGTGAATATAATCTTCCGTATCAATCTCATCAGACTTGTCGCTCTCCGAGTCCGAGTCACAGAGATTGGGATCGTCTGCATCCGCATTTTGAGACCATTCACACTTGGACAAAGCGAAAATGAATCCATTCGAATCGTGCATGTTGAACTCTGCAACGTCTTCAAGCTCGGGCTCCTCACCTTTTTCCTCTTCCTCTACTGCAGCATGACCTTCTGCTGTATCAAGATGCAGAGGCAGCGTCATTGTGTTTTCTTCTGCTGTATCAGACAGGATAACACTCGAAGCTTGTGCTGTAGAAGCCAGAGTAACAGGACGCACAGTCAGAGCTTGTACAGTAGCATCCCGAGTAGCCACACTCGCAGTCCGAACTTGTGCTGTAGCCGGTCGAGCAGCTGCGGTCGAGGGCCGAGCTTGTGCTGTATTAGCCGAAGTAACTGGACTCGAAGCCCGAGCTTGAATTGTACTGGCTACAGTGATTGCCGTCGCAGTAGAGGTCGTCGTAGCTGGCACGTTCTCTTTAGCAGGCGGGGTAGTCGTTGGTGCTGTCTCCCTTTCGACGCGATCAGCTGCGGCAGAGGTGGGCCTATCATCGCACGCTCCGCTGTCTGCAGGCGGTGCTGTCAATGCTGTCGACGAAGGGGACGGAGGAATAGTTCCAGCGATAACACTATACTCTAACCAGCCACGCTGTCGAGCAAACTCCAGTAGCGCTTTCTCGCCTGAGGGGACAAATCGGTTAGTAAAGTTGTTGTAATCGATGCAAACTAGTGGTGCGAGCTGTACCGGTGAAGTAGTCGACGCCATCCTTTCCTTTCACGCTTCTTCCCGGGCGGACGTAGCGGTGGTCACTACTTAGGCCGGTGGGGGGCTTCGGTGTCCACCCTTGCTTGCAAAGCTCTCGCCAGAGCTGCTTGAACGTTTTTTCCATGCTGTTCGAGTTGGGCGGAGCGGGGCGGAGGGAGACCGAGATTTCAAGTGTAGTGGGGAGGGAGCGGGATAGCGCGATCGACACAAACCTCTATCCACCCGATAGCATCCGTAGACGGGCTCCTCTAACCCCAGATCAGTAACGACGTGCGAGAAACCAGTCACCGTTAGGATTTGCAACCGACCAATACAAATTCCAGTATGCGAAAAAGTTTGATGTTTCATTGTTCGCTGCATATTAAAACCTCTTATAATACTTATGCTGTATTATACAGCATACAGGACTAGAAGGGTTAAATACAACGCGCTCTTATGACTTAAATCTGTAGCTAAAAACCCATAAGTCATTCTTTGATTTGCAGCACAAACAAGCATGCCCAACCTCCCTCTAGACGGTCTTTGAATAGAGCCCACCTCGCAGAATTGTATCACTAATGCGTCGTGGCTGAGCAGCAGCGCCTGAAGACTACGAACGGCATCAGCCACCGTCTGCGTATTGGGCGGATACTGCAGGCAACTGACACGTAAGATAATCTTCATGAAATCGGTGAGGTAGAGTTTCTTGTGACCCAGTGTCACAACTTACTAGAGCGAATTGCTTCATGAAGGCATCGCGAATTTCCTCCGTGTAAAGGAATCGGTTCTTTCGCATCCTTCGGGGCCACTGGCTGTATATTCTCCTGCATTAACATGTCCACAGCTTTGACAGGCGTATCACAAATATTGACTAGAACAACACAAATGGGAAGTCAGTCACGCACTATATCGTAGACATAGGCAGAAAAGAGGTAACGTACTTCGGCAGTTCCAAGAACTAGAGCTGTGTGAGGCTGCGGTCCCGGTTGGCCTTCTCTTAGCTTCTTGCATGAGCTCGAGGCTTGCAGCTACTGCCAGGTCGGGCAGTGAGCAATGCGCCGACGTCTCGTGCAGTATCCTAGCTTGTGCTGGCACTGGCAGTGCAGTAGTGCCGCAATGCTGCTCAATGACCCTCAAATGAGAATATTCTGTCGGTTTTTTTAAGTAGTTTTGAATTTTGAATGGAATTTCGGACGTTTTCTGGAAGTATATTAGACAGTTTTAAATTAGTCCAAAACCATCCCTACCTGGAATAAGAGCCTCAAAGAGAGCCTGCGTTGGGTCTCTGTACTCTCGGACTTAATTGGGTGGAGCCTCCAAAAGATATGACGGAGCCGAGGTCCTTGAAGATACAAGCTCCCCTATCCCTGGGCTCGTAGAAGGCTTGGTTTCACCACTCGGTCTGGAGCATTACCAACTCGGCACAAGCGTCGAACAGCTTCATCGAAATATCGGCATCGATACGGAGTGGAGAGGCAGCGGAGGCTCCACCGGAGCCTGTACGCTCATACTTTACAGTTGCTTTTTTTTTTTTTTGCATTTCACAACCTTAAAACGTCGGTAAGCTCAGTGTTTTGTTTATAAAGAACAACTCTGCAAGCCCTCGATTGAGCGCCATTTTAATGTATTGTATCCAAAGATCAAGAGTTGAGCCAGTTGTTGGGTCTTCGTCCGGTTGTGCAGCTTACAAACTTCAAGTGATTTGAACTCCTGTGTATAGGCAGCCCAGTCAAAGCCATTTTCGAGCAGAGCTCATGACAAAGCCGTCGGGGGCGGAGAGGCAGCGATCGCTCTCGTCCGCTAGCGGTGGAGGTGTTGGCCGTGCCCCCACGACCAACTCCCGTGGGTCCCTGCAGACGTCCAAGGAATACGTGGCCCGAGCGCAGCAGTTCGCCGATGCCCGCGTGCTCGAGACGCTCCGGAAATACCACAGCAACAGGGCGGCTGCCTCGTACACGTTGGGAGAATCACTGGGCGTGGACCGCTCGCAGTGGAAACTCGCTAAGGGCGGCGGTCGTCACCACTCTATCGCTTGCTACAAAAAGGTGTCGTCCAGGGGCCCGTTCGGCGGTCTGAGGATATCGCGCAGGGACAAGCAGAGCCAACACGCAGCTGACATGATGCGTATGACCATGGCCGCCAACAAGAGCGCGCCGTCCGTGTTTGTCTCGGAACAGGCTGAGCTACTGGCCATTGGAGTCGTTCCTGGTTCACTGGAGGACGTGCTGCACGGCACTGTGAACCTCACACCTGAAGCCATGCAGATCGAGAGTGCTCACGCCCAATGCGACCTGCTGGACAGCCGCGTGCTGGCTGCACTCGTGGCTCCCACAGCTAGTTCACCATTCCGCTCTCTCACTCTCAAGTGGGCGCTACGTCATCATGAAGTCCTGTCGAGGCACCGAGACTACGTATACCTCGAGGCCACGGGAGTGGTGCGGGACCCCCAGGACAACGGCGCAAGGGTAGGCTACCGCCTTGTACACTCTGTGACACTGCCATCCGCTCCAGAGCTGGCGCCAGAGATGCAGATTGTGCGTGGCCACTTGTCATTTTGCTATCTGTACCGACAACACAGCGATTCTGAAGCTGAACTCTTCTTTCACGGCGGAATTCTGCCACGAGGTGGCGCAAAGGACCGTCTGGCCTTCCAACTAACAGCAGAGGTTGTGCTGGCCTCGCCCAGTACGATCGAGTGCGCCATGATGAAGAAATTGGCCTTCTCGCTGCGGACCAAGCAGCCGGCAGCTCTCCGTCCGCCGTCCCCACCGCTGCATCACATCGATGACGACCTACGGCAGACTAACGGCGGACGTAAAAGCTCATTCGGTATAAGTATGTTCCGTGCGTCTATGACGTTTGATAGCAGTCGGAGTAGTATTGTTTTTGGAGGGGGGCAAGGTGTCAGTCCGTGTCGTGTGTGCCGTCGTCCACTTCGGGCTTTCTTTGGTGGGAAAGTGACGAGCTGTCAGCTGTGTAAAGAACCAGTGTGCAATCGCTGCAAGGTGCATAAGAAGGTTTTTGTGTTTGAAACGGGGGTCTTCCATCCTCAGAAGATGGACTTTTGCTCCGAGTGTATGGTGAACACAAACCGACTGAATGCTGGGTGGGTAGCGTCGCAGGAGCTTACTGGCGCTGCTAACAGAGTGCGCCTGAGCGAGCGGAGCAGCTCGTCGGAGGAAGAGTGTGGAGTCAAGTCGCAGATCGGCTTGGGGGCTTCATGGCACGGTGGGATGTCGCGCATCGACGAGGGCCGCGCCACCATGTCAACAGACGGCCCGATGGGGCATTCAGCTCCTCAGTCTGTCGTCTGGCTCCCCACGGACCATCTGCACCCTCGCCTTACGTCCGTTGACCCCATGGACGTGGAGATAGAAGAGCAGAGCGATGTGGATGGGCCTCAGTATGGAAGATACGATCGCATCGAGGACGACAGCTTTATCGATACGGAAGCATTCGTGACGCTGGACGATGACGACGACCGCTTTGACGAAATTATCCCCATGATTGACATTCCGTCGGAGGGCGAGGAGGACGAAGTCGAGAATGAAAGCATGCTCTCGAGCCACGCAGTGGACCTCGTGTACGTCTCGCAGAGCTCGTAACTAAAACAGACCACCAAGGCTTCGGAAAAGACGGTCTGTACCTCTTATTTAAGCGAGTTTTAACAACAAAAAGTAAACATGTTTTGCCACCAATAGGGTACGGAGTACGTATTCTTTCCATATTAGGCCAATCAAAACAGTGTACAGCTCGCGCAACATCAGTTCGTTCTCCTTTTGACGGCTTCTCGGCGAGCTGCGTCGTTCTCATCTTACCCCCCTACTGGAGTCTGGTGTCTGTCTGTCAGTCCGTCCGTAACGGGCTAGGGTTAATTAATGTAACGCAAATACGCGCGTTCTACTGGCTGCCGAGCGCAGCGAAGGCGGCGTCGATTCGCTAAAAAGCTGTCGAGCGCAGCGAAGGCGGCCCCCATTGGCTAAAATCAACATTGTGTTTCTTACATATTATATGTGGTCTACACATCGTACTTAAAAGCACTGCTTAAATTTCATTTTGCTCTCATTTTCAGCTGCGGTTCGCAAGGCCACGCAAAGGGCGCTGCCTGTGTACGCGTTAGTTAGCATAATTAAAAGGCGCCGATAAGCACACACGTACTATATCGTCGTAGGAGATGCTGACAAAAAGGGTAGGCTTTGGTGACTTATATTTCGGCCTCAATCGAAACTTTAGTACTTATTGAATATAGAATGATGTTTTAGGCTTCGTAGCACTGTTGTACTAATTTAACTTACAATATTATTTTGATTAGTACAATAATCAAGACATTTCATATTTTTGCTTGCAGTTATTTGTAGTAGTAGTATAGATAATAATTATATTAGCGTTTAATAATGAATAGCAATTGTATTACTATTAATAATAATGTGAAAACTTTAAAATATGACTATTGTGGCTTACACCCCTGCACCCCACACTGCCTCCGGGAAAAAGTGTCATCTTCCTTTGTATTTGCGCGCGTAGTGTGCGACCTTCAGATATTGTGCGAACTTTCCAACAATATATGTAGCGTACATCAAACAAAATGGGAACAGCTATTGTGTTTAAATTAGCGCGGAGGCACGTGACTAAGCAAGAGCTCGAAGCTCGAAGGAACACCGACCCACACTATGTAGGCGATGGGATAGACGAGCAACACGAAGCACGGAGGGCCATGGACGATGCTAGAGGACTTAGCCGATGCAATCCACGATGATTTAAAGGTAGCGTGAAAGATGGAAGTGCACGCAGCCATGAAAAGGACAGAAGGACAAGAATATGACGGGACCGTACGGGCCACAGAATGTGACTTAATACGTAGACACCCCAGCATGCCGAAATGCACGGGCTACGAAAGAGCATGCACGCTCGAAGCCACGGTAGAACACGTAACGGTAAGAGTGCGCGGACAGAAATTCTCCCATAGCACCACGGTTGAAAACGGAGCACATTCGACCGACCAAGCATGAAGCCGCGGAAGACCATTAACGGGAGGTTGTCGAGTATTGAAGCACGATACCAGGGTAGAGCCGGAGCTCACTGGGGAGCGCGATACTACTGTAGATAGCGAAAGCTTGGACGACAGACCAACCGCGACACCAAGAGATAGCACGATAGCATGGACGATGGGACAGCCACTAATACATGGGAGAACAAACAGCCACGGGAACTCACTGAGCACGATAGCACTGTAGAAATTGAGATCGCCGGGTCACTGAGGACGATACTTCATTAAAACACGTTTACCCGGACGGCCGACCAGCCACAAAATCGCGGGGAAACGCTTCTGGGGACCACGATTGCACACCGCGGAGCACGGAGCCATCGTAGAACGCGATACCTTTGGCAAAACATATATATTATGCGGTCACGATAGCATATACAGCATAACCACATTGCGATTGCACGATAGCGCGATAACGCGGTAGATGGAGCCACCACAGGGGTGCGCGGCACACAGGTGACAGAAAACTTCGGAAGATCACTCATTGGCGAGGGTACCAGAAATGGAACGCGACCATGAATGATTATGGACACGAAGCCTGTGGAATCCACGTAAACCCTTGAGAACACAGAATATCTAGCAACCACGAAAGAGGGTCGTACTACGGGAGCGCATGAAACTAAAAGAGCTAGCACACAACCACTAAGCACTGTGAGAGAATGCGTACACAAATCCAGGACAATCACTAAGCAGCGTGTGCCACGGGTGAGCAGGGAACCACGAAGCCAGGAAGATCACGGAAAAGCGCCGGTCACTGGAGAACATGACATCCAACCTGTAGTACGGGGTAACGGAAGCGTACCAAACAACGATATTATACGGGTCCACATGAGACTACGGAATGGTAAGTGGTTAGGTACACGAAGCCAAGACCTACTGAGGTAAACGAGGCTAACAAAGTACGCGACACCAAGAAGCACTTAAATTTGAGGTTACCGCATCTCCAACAAACCGTGCCACTCCGCCGCGTAGCGGCGGCGAACGGCTAGTCTTACCCCCCTACTGGAGTCTGGTGTCTGTCTGTCAGTCCGCAATGCCGGGGCTAGGGTTAATAAATGTAACGCAAATACGCGCGTTCTACTGGCTGCCGAGCGCAGCGAAGGCGGCGTCGATTCGCTAAAAAGCTGCCGAGCGCAGCGAAGGCGGCCCCCATTGGCTAAAATAGGCATTGTGTTTTGTACACACTGTATGTGGTCTACACATCGTACTTAAAAGCACCGTTCAAATTTCATTTTGCCCTCATTTCTAGCTGCGGAGCGCCACGACACGCATAGGGCACTGCCTGTGTACGCGTTAATTAGCATTAGTGGAAGGCGCCGATGTGCACACACGTACTATATCGTCGTAGGAGCTGCTGAAAAAAAGTTTAGGCATTGGTGACTTATATTTCGGCCTCAATCGAAACTTTAGTACTTATTGGATATATAATGATATTTTAGGCTTCGTAATACTTTTCAAATAATAAAACTTACAAAACAGTTTGCGTAGTACTATATAAAAGATTTATATATCATATTTTTGTTTGCAGTTATTGGTAGTAGTAGTAGTAGTACACATAATTATTTTATCAGCGCTCGATAATAAATAGCAAATGTATTACTGCTAATAATAATGTGAAAAACTTATATGACTATTGTGGCTTACACCCCTGCACTCCACACTGCCTCCGGATAAAGTATTATCTTCCTTTGTATTTGCGCGCGTAGTGTGCGACGTTAAGATATTATGTGAACTTCCAACAATATACGTTGTGTACATCAAACAATATACGTTGTGTACATCAAACAAAATGGGAACAGCGTTTGTGATTAAGTTGGCGCGGATGCACATGTCTAAGCAAGGACACGAAACACGAAGGAATACCGACCTACACTATGTACACGATGGGATAGAAGAGCAACACGAAGCACGGAAGTCAGGGAAGCGAACTAGAAGACTGACGGATTTACCGCAAATTTCTGGTGTACTGGCGGGG